GTGGGGCTCATCCTCTGCACTCCTGCAGCACCTGGCGCACTGACTTGAGTCACAGCACCGATGGCAGCGAGGGCAGGGACGGGGTCTGGCCCACTCTTGCTCTGCGCTCCCCCTCCCGGCCATCCACCAGGTTCTGGTACGATGCGCCCCAGATAAACACGCAAGGCACGGATGAATCGGACGCCAAACCAGCCATGTTTGCGGCGTGCCGCAGCTTCCTCCACCCGCTTCCCCACCTCGTCTGGGAAGCCCAGAGATGGGTGGCAGTTGGCCGCCGGGGGCCACCTGCCGGCAGCCCAGGTCTGGCAGGCAATGCTGCACCCTGGCGCCGCCTCTCGGCGCTGCGGCTCCCGCCTGGCCCGAGCTCGGGCGTCAAGGAGCCTGGTTCAGGCAGGGGGAGCTGGCGTCCAGGCGAGGGGTCCCTGACTCGCTAAGCATCCCCAGGCGCCTGTGGGGGAGGGGGAGCAGCTGAGAGTGGCCAGGACTGCGGGACCCCTGCCCAGCCCTGGGGCAGGCCTGCAGCAGTGGGTGTTGCCTAAGGCTGTGACTTCACTCAGGGGCCTGAACTGGACGGTTTTCTCATCATAAAACACAGTGCATTTGAAAAAAAAAAAAATAATCTGAGAAATAGAAAACTGTAAAGAAAATAAACATTACCTGCAAATCCAGAGACACCAGCTGTTAACCACGTTGGTGTATATCCTTTGTGACATGTCTTTTATGTGTGCATTTATTATTACAAAATGGGGGATATAATGTACATAGGGTTAAAAAAAAATAGCACTTACTATGTCCTGAGTTCAGAAGCAGAAGAAAGATCTGGAAAAATAGAAAAGCATAAAGAAGAAAATTTAAGGCCGGGCGCGGTGGCTCACGCCTATAATCCTAGCACTCTGGGAGGCCGGGGCGGGTGGATCGCTCGAGGTCAGGAGTTCAAAACCAGCCTGAGCAAGAGCGAGACACCATCTCTACAATAAATAGAAAGAATATTAGAATAGAAAGAATAGTCAATTAGCTAACTAATATATAGAGAAAAAATTAGCCGGGCATGGTGGTGCATGCCTGTAGTCCCAGCTACTCGGGAGGCTGAGGCAGGAGGATTGCTTGAGCCCAGGAGTTTGAGGTTGCTGTGAGCCAGGCTGAGGCCACGGCACTCACTCTAGCCTGGGCAACAAAGCGAGACTCTGTCTCAAAAAAAAAAAAAAAAAAGAAGAAAATTTAAAAACCAATTCTAATCCTACAATCTGGAGATAGGCTTTCTTTCCAATTTAGTTTATATTTGTGACAAGCAACTATTATATATCTATGTATCTATTTTGCAAGAATCCAAATCAGAAAATTTTTTTAAAAATTTCCCCAAGGGAAGAATTTTTGTGCCTTCGATTATCCCGAAGTAGTAGACACACATCTTTTTTTTTTTCCTGCCTGGAACTTTCTCACCGTCTTCTGAGGACATCCTCCAGCCTCCCCTCCCCCACCCCCTCCCAGCACGCTCCACTTACACGGTTCCCACGGTGTCTGTGGAGAGGCGGCTACACCTGCAGCATTCAGTTTTAGGAGTGAGAAGAGGGCAGAATGTGCTTCTGTAAATTTGGACAGACACTGCCAAACTCTCGCAGAGAAACTGTCCCAATCTGCATTCGCCAGCAGTCACGGGAGTACCTGTTTCCCAGCAGGGTCACCAACAGAACGCGTAAAAACGTTTGGCTGCTGGGATTGACGCGCCTCGAGTTCTGCCGAGGTGTGCTGGGTGTCCCGGGTCCCAGGCTCAGGGCCACCTGTCTCCCGGTACTCCCTGAGTCCGCACAGTAACTCAGTGAGGGAAGTAGGGGCATCCCCATTGTGCAGAGGAAACAGGTGTAGAGAGGCCGGCTTACCTCAATCCGAAGAACTGCGCTGAGTGCAAGCCGGGGAGGTCAAGCTCCAGCATCCATTCTCCTAACCAGCGATTCTCGAGGCCGAGTGTTCATCAGAGTCCGCCGGAGGGCTTGGGAAATGGCGGCTGGGCCCCCCTCCGGTTTCTGATTCCAGTAAGAGCGGGTGAGCGTGAGAACAGGCAAGTCTAAGTTCCCAGGGACCGGACTTTGAGAACCATTGCTCCTCTTCCTCTACCTATTAGGGGGCCCCACCTGGAGACGACCTTGCTGGGCTAAGCTGGACCGTGGCTGGGTGTTCACGTGAGCGCCCTCTGTCCCACACACCTGTGCCTCTGCGTGCTCGGGAGCGAGAGAGGGAACGAGCACGGGATCTTTCCTGGTCTTCGGAACGTCGAGGTGAGGTTCGTGGCGAACGACGTCACTTCTTCAAGACTGTCTCCACACCTTTCTAAGGCAGGTGCCGCTCAGAGGAACTCTTGGGGGATTACAGGGAATCACGTAAATAAAAAACAGGACTGCAAGACGCAGTTGCTAATTATTCCCGCTGCCGGAGCGGCAGTGAGGGGCGGCGGAAACCACTAGGTGAGAGGGATGGACCGAGCTGGCAGGACCGAGCTGGCAGGTGAGACACTGGATGGGTCAGCGTCTCTGAGGCTCAGATTCTTCTCAACCACTTCAGCACGAGCGTCGGCTGTGGCCGACAGCCGTGATACGAGTTTTCTCATGTTTCGTTTATCAAAATAAAATTGTGGGCCGGGCGCGGCGGCTCACGCCTGTCATCCCAGCACTCTGGGAGGCCGAGGCGGGCGGATCGCTCGAGGTCAGGAGTTGGAAACCAGTCTGAGCAAGAGCGAGACCCCGTCTCTACTAAAAACAGAGAACGAGTAAATTTAAGTTGGCCAATAATAACAGAAAAAACCGAGCCGGTCATGATGGTGCGCATGCTGTGAGTCCAGCTTACTCGAGGGCTGAGCAGGAGATCCTTGAGCCAGAGTGTGAGGTTGCTGTTGAGCTACGGCTTGACCCACGGCATCACTCTTAGCCCTGGCAACAAAGCGGACTCTGTCTCAAAAAAAGTAAAGAAATAAGAAAAATAGAAGAATTAATAAATTGTAACGCTTAACAAAATAACGTATTGGAAAACATTATGTAATTGCTAAAACCTAATTGTGAGTTGGACGTCCACAAAGGTTAAAGCTGGCCTGTAGAGTTAAAAAGCTTCGGTACTTCTAGCTTTCGTCACAGAGGAAAACACGGACCGCGTCATCCAATGCGCAGGAAAGCCACCGTGCGGCTGCGGCAGAGGTGCCGGCCATGTCGGCGAGGGTGTCGGCCAGCGGGTGAGCGCGACCAAAGGCGGTAAAGAATGGCGGGACATTGTACAAGGCTCTTGTGGTGTCCGACCCGGCTCTCCTGCTTGCTCCAGAACCTAGGAGGCAAGTGAGGCGGAAGGACGGGCTCGGAATCCAAGCGCTGTACTGCGGCTCACAAGGCCGTCTCCCTCTAGGTTCTCGCCAGGGCTAACGCTTCCTCCTCAGCTCTGTCCTAGAACGATCTATACCCTGCCCTTCCACGTTGGATTCTGTCGCGTGTGGATGAGACGGGGGGAATACTTCACAGATTCCTGGAAAGCCGGGTTGAAACCCCATAACCACACGGACCCCTAGCTGGTTGCCTTCCTACAAACTGCTGGAGCGGAAATGGAGACAAAACACCAATTTTAATGCGATATTTTTAGTAAAAAACCCGTGGATTTACGTTTTTGCTTAACCGTAAAAGATCCGTAAAACTTTGCCCCCCAGCTGGGCAAGTTGCCAGGGTTATGAAATCTTACCATTAACAATGATACCTGGCATTTTTGAAACGCATGCTCCAGTGTCTCTTAAGAGCAAATAGGTTGAAATGTCCTAACCTAATAACTGCTTGACTCTTCGTTTCAAGCTTTCAGAGAACAACCTCTGTCGAGGCCAGAGTCAATTGTTCCAAACTATCTAACAAGCAAACACCAACTGAAGGTTCACGGATAAATGGTTCACTGGCAAAAGGCATGTATTTATAAATGTTTTAGTACGTATAGGTATGGACTGCTCTTGTCAACTCTTGGATCACACTTTTACTTTTCTTGAGATAGAATTCTCACCGTCTTTGTTTGCCTGGGCATAGTTGCCATGGGTCCAGCTGCTCACAGCGAACTCAACTCAAATGGGCTCAAGGATCCTCCTGCCTCAGCCTTCCAGAAGCTGACTTACCACCTGGCTAATTTTTTTGCTTCTTTTTTAGTTGCCCTCGGATATTTTTTCTATTTTTTGAAGAGGACACGTCTGGCTTCGTTGCTCAGGCTGGTCTCGAAGCTCCTGACTCAAAACGTCTTCCCGCCTCGCCTCCCAAGAGGTGCCAGGATTACAGTGTGAGCTACGCCGCCCTGCCCAAAACTTTGAAGTATTATATTTAATAATTTCTGACGACAAACAGAGTCCACAGTAGCAAAAGATGTCAGAAACGGTGGACAAAGGAGTTCAGATGCCGTTCTTTGTTAAGTCTGTGGTGAAGCAATCCCCAGACTTAGTTAGTTCCAGACCGCCTTCTGTTGAACTGATGCCGCAATGCCAAGCTACACGCGGAATAGAGGTGAAAACATATAAAAGCAATGTGTCTCACCTCTCATGTTCGAGTTGGCTGTGGGTGGGATGTGTGTCTCTATGGTATATATGGGTTAAGAGTGTAGAAGACTGAGTAAGCCCAAAATAGCAGAAAAAATTTCCTGCTAAGAAGCAATACAGTATCGTTTTGCATACTGGCAGAATGACTAAGTTACTAAGTTACTAAGTATTGCAGATACTAAGTTACTAAGTACTAAGGTACTGCAGATACTAAGTTACTAAGTACTAAGGTACTGCAGATACTAAGTTACTAAGGTACTAAGTACTAAGGTACTGCAGATACTAAGTTACTAAGGTACTAAGCACTAAGGTACTACAGATACTAAGTTACTAAGTACTAAGGTACTGCAGATACTAAGTTACTAAGGTACTAAGTACTAAGGTACTGCAGATACTAAGTTTCAACGGATGGTACCATCGACTGCAACATGCAAACTGCTTCACATACAAATAAAAGAGAGAATCTGTTTTCATTCTGAGTTTATTTAACATTTCATCCAGTTGAAATGAGATAATACATTGACCCCAACACTGGCAAGACACTGTGCTAATACTGAAATAAAACTGCCAGCCAGTAAATAGTCACATCATAATTCTTTATGCCACGCCAACAGAAACATTGACACCTATTTACCTTTACAAGCTTATTGCACTTCATGTGGATTTTTTTTTTCCCTCCAGGAAAGGTATTTCTACAAGATCAGCAAGGATTGCTAATCTTGGTTCATTTGTTCTTTTTTTTTTTTTTTTATAAACCATGATTAAACTATACAGTTAATATTTCTCTATAAAAGCATTAAGAGGCTGAAGAGTCAAAAAAACAATGTTTTTAAGAAGACACATTTCTAAGTTCATTGTCACAACCACTCCACTGTACGACTATGCTTTGCTCACGTCTTCCTGGCGTGTGCAAGGTTCAGGGGGCTCATCCATCTGCCTGCCAGCTGCTCACTTTTTGCTGAAGGCTCCACCCATTCCGACACGGAGCTACAGACTAGCCAGGGTGGGGACTTCAAAGACGAGCTGGGGTTAAGTGCCCTTCAAGCACCTCGTGGAGATCTGCCCTGAATTCCAGCCTTTTACCACTTTTTTAAAGAGAAGCACTGAGGGCAACAGAATCCTCTCTTGGGAATGTCATGGGGAAACCCATTTGCTTCAACCAGTTTAAGACAGAAAATCCAAACGAGAAGATTCTGGTGGCCTCAGGGAAGGTTCCGGGTGGCCAAAAAAGCTTCAGATTCCACGAATCCTTTCCGAGAAAAGAGAAACGCAGACACAAGGCACACCACTTTTTCTTTATGAGGAATTCCAGTCTGGTCACATTGTCAGGGAGAAAGAAAAAAAAAAAATCTGTCAAACCTAAATGGTCTCTATATTTCACTTGCAAATTTCTGAATTATAACGAACTACACTCAATGAAACAACTGCCTTGTGCAGCCGTTACTCTGCTGGGGATTGGTCCAGGACGCCCCTGGGATACCAATATCCGAGGATGCTCAAGTTTCTGATATAAAAGGGCACAGTATTTGCATATAACCTAGGCACATCCTCTAGTATACTTTAAGTCATCTCTACAGGACTTATAATACATAAAACAATGCAAGTGCCATATAAATGGTTGTTACACTATATTGGTTTTTAAATTTGTATTCTTTTTCATTGTTTGTTTTTAAACATTTTCAATCTGCAGTTGGTTGGATTCACGAATGTGGAACCCGCAGATACAGAGGGCTGACTGTATATATCGTTAAACATCTACAGACTTGCAACATAATCTCTGTTAATTAAATATATGATCTGTGCAATGACTATGGCCATTGTAAACAGTGGTACATGGTTTCGTTATTTTCAAAGAGGGTGGAATGTAATACACAATATTCAAGTAAAATTCACTGGGACTGACTTCTACACATATTGTCTCTGTGCCTCTCTGAAAAGCCAAAGAGATCTCTATCTATACGGGTGACAAGGAAGAACACGCAGGTAACTAGAACTGTGTGGTCTCACTTCTTAAAAAAAAATCTGACAAATCAGATCCGGTCCACTCATACGGCACTGGTATTAAATATACTTCCAAAATTTGACATCTGTACATTTCAGTTATTTGATTATTTGATGTAAATAACTGAATATAAAAGTCAATAACTGCAAGGTAAGATTAACATCTTTATGCAAATGTAAAACAATAAATTTAAAAACCAGCCAAGGATATCCACCCACGATATATAAATGCATATCACTGCCGACAGGAGGGAAGGCGTGTTGCACTGGCCCACAACTTCGCCTTTTGGAAGGGTTATGAAGGAGCTTTTACCCTACAAATTCCCGAACTCCATCATCTACCTTGGGTCTTTGCCCAAATTGGAAGCAAATTGCCCTTAATAGGTTAGGGTAAGATTTTATAGGTTAGCTTCAGAGCTTTTTTGTATTTTCCCAACGCACTGCTGAGATTTCCTGGATTTCAGACCAGAATAAGATGAAAATCCAGTATTTTAAGCAGGTTCCCTTTCACTCAATCAATAAACATTTACTGAGCATACACTGAGCACCTAGTCTATGTCTAGCAATGCTTTTTTAAAACCATGGGTGAGGACTGGGACATTGTCTTTGAAAAACAAATTACTATAAAAGCTACAGGAAGGGTATTTCTGCATATCATGACATGATCCAAACGGAAGGAAACCAACAGGTGTCGGGCACCTGGCCCGCACCAGGTGCTGTGTTCTAAGTAGCAGCTTTATTCTAAAAGGCCGATGTGGATCTTTAAAAGGTATCTGTCACTGGGAGAAGCCAGGTGGGACAGGACCATCCTCCCTGTACGGCGACACCAGGCTTGCAGACGGCAGGGGCGGCCGCAGAGGTTCCCTTCGCCTTTACAACCCCTTGTTGAAGTACACGCGACGCAGTTCGGGGTGAGCCTCCCGGATCTTAGCTTGCAGCTCAGCCTCCAGGCTTGTCACAGACATGGAACTGGGGTGAGGGAGAAACACCAGGTTAGTGCACAGGCAGAGGTGGGACCCAGGACCTAGAAGCAGCAGGGAGGGGGGGTGCAGGCGCGGAGAACCCAGGCCTGGCCCCGTGCTGCAACTGGTGCAATGAAACCTGGGCAATGGCTAGAAAACCAGTACACCGTTCCTTTCTGAAAATTTGTTGTCACTAATAATAGAAATTTTCTTCTGTTGCCACTAATAAAAGAAATGCACGTTCAGACCCAACCCCAACCCTCGCATATTAAAAGCTGAAAGCCACTTGCTGTTGGCGAGACTGCACGGCAGCGACACCCCAGACCTTACTAAGGTGCTGGAACTTCCCAAACGACTAAATGTGCACCCCACTGGTGCAGGAAGATACATGCACTCAGTGGAATTGGTAACACGGAAAACTTGGCCTACACCAACATGCTTTTGTTCACTGTGTAATAATTGCTCATTGTAAAACTTTCAGAAAATACTGAAGTATATACCCAAAAGCCAAACTCGCTCACATTCCCACAACTGAGAGGGAACCACTGTCAGTCTCTCTCTTACTCACTTAAAGAAACATACCTGAAGGTAGTGTAGTAGTAACAAAGCTTATTTTTTATAATAAATTCATACTCATTAGATACAAGTATAATACAGGGAAAAGTGCTCTAGAAACTGCTAATATTTTGATATGTAATGGGTCTTTTAAGAACATTTGAGATCTAATATAGTTGAGATTTGATTAAAAAAAATGTAAGGTTAAAAAAAATGTCAATATATAAATTTCTATTAAAAATATGCAAAACAAATAAAGGAAAAATTATAAATACAGAAAGGCACGAGGGAAAAACCCCACAGTGGTTATTTTTTTCATGTGGCAGGCCTTTGGGTAATTTTATTTTATTTATTTATTTATTTTTTTGAGACAGAGTCTCACTTTGTTGCCCAGGCTAGAGTGAGTGCTGTGGCGTCAGCCTAGCTCACAGCAACCTCAATCTCCTGGGCTCAAGCGATCCTCCTGCCTCACCCTCCCGAGTAGCTGGGACTACAGGCATGCGCCACCGTGCCCGGCTAATTTTTTCTATATATATATATTAGCTGTCCAATTAATTTCTTTCTATTTATAGTAGAGACGGGGTCTCGCTCTTGCTCAGGCTGGTTTCGAACTCCTGACCTTGAGCAATCCACCCGCCTCGGCCTCCCAGAGAGCTAGGATTATAGGCGTGATCTGCCTCTATTTCTTCCTTTCAGAGAACTTTGCATCATTACCCTTTTGAGTCTCAACTTCCCTACCCACAGTGAGTTGTGGTGACAGCCCCTCATCTTCACCTGGTTTTGGGGATCAAAACTCACGATCATGCTGAAGAATAACAATCACATACCTTTTCTGAGGAAACAGAGCACAACACAGGGGCGTAGCAAACACCAAACTTAAAAAAAAAAAAAAAAGTCAAATTGGAGCATTTGGAAAACGGTCGACTTTTCAGATTCTCTTTCTGTTTTGCCTTTATTAACAGTGCCCTTTCTTGAGAGCATCATACTGCCTGACAAAAATAATGTCCCGTTTGTGTAAATTTTACTACCTGGGATTGCCAAAATAATTTTTAAAAAAATCTAAGCGAAAACAGGAGTTTACAAGAGAATCACACAAAAATAGCTTTAACGTTGTAGATTTCTCTAAAGACAGTTTACTTTTATCTAATTATTGGGAACGGAAGACCCAGATGCTCTGGGATGGTCTCATTGTCACAACAGGTGTCCCCTGTCACCCTTCCATTTATTATGTAAAAGTAATTTCTACTCACCAGAAGCCAACCAATCCAACTTGAATAGGCGCACTCATCCACGGGAACCTCTGTGTGGAGAAACACATGATTTTGAATAGTTTTTTTTAGACAGGCACTTAAGAGACATTCCTGCTGCCGCTTAGCTGGACGGAAGCTCGCCGCACTGCAAGACGCAGATGGAATGTGGTTAGACCCTGCAGCGAGCGTGTTAGTCCTGGCTTCCTGTGGCTCTCCTAGATCTGTAACACACATGCACACATGCAAAGACCAAGTGGCTTCTATTTTATTAATATTTCCCCTTGCACGTATAACCTGAGGGCTGCCTGGCTATGCACAGGAGGGGGAAAAATTAGCTATCATTTAATTATAATTTACCTCCTGGCTGGGGAGCCAGTATAGCCTGGTGCCAAGGTTGGAAGACAAAGGATCTCTGCTCTTCCAGTTAGTTCCCAACTGCAGGGGATGGGCAGGCAGAGCCTTACCTGTCCAAGCTTTGGTTTCCTTGTTACGACACAAAAATGAGCGTCGTAACAGCTTCCTATAAAAGTGTGTGGATGAAGGCATGCCAGGTAACATTCCCAGAGCCCCAAGCCGGTGTCTGGATCACTTACCATCCCCCACAGCTCCCTGCAGCCAGCCCATTATCATTCTTGGTTTTAGTCGCTGTCAGTATGGTTAAAACTATTTCTGGCATAAAACATTTTTTGCTAGTCACATTTTCTTTTTTTTTTTTTTTTTAATGGAAACAAACGAGTTGCTTGGTCTTTTGGAAAATAAATGCTTGTTAAGACTTTTAGTTTTAAAAAAGGGACGATACCAAAATACACACTATAAAGAGCAATGAGATACATGGTTATATAAATGCGGCTACAAAAATAGCTGCGACCGAGTGGTGAACCGGTCGTAAGGAAATCAGCCAGCTGGGTTAAGAGTGGACATGAGCCATTACAAGACAACGTGCACGAGAGGCATACCCGGGCCTCGAGGGCACTCCTCTGGCGGAAAGGGACATCGGGAGGGTCAACGGCAGGGGGAAGGTGTGGGCTAGAGAGGAAGGGAGGCATGTCATCAGGGGACACTGATCCACACAGGTGACCCAGAGCTCTGGGTCCCACCCCCCCAAAAGACAGAAAAGGGAAACTGAGCCATGGGGAACTGGCTTTCTGTGATGACCAAGGATCGCCAGGGGGAGATGGTAAATCTCTAGACGACTGACATCCGGGTTGGTGCACGGACTCTTGGCAACGGGAGGGTAAGTACTAAGCACCTAAGTACTAAGCAAGATCCTGTGGATGGATGAACCCGGGCCCGTGAGAGCAGCCCGCTTGTCTCAAGCACACGCTTGTCTGTAGCCAACGGGGCTAGCCTGTTATCCCAAAGGGAAGAGTCGTATGTCATATCCGAGTGGGACAGGGACTACCTAATGCTGGCCGTGGCCCACGCAGAGGGATGATGGAAAGGCTCCTCACAGTGACCGGGCTTCTAGAGAATTCCGACTCATCCTGCAACCCCCGACCTGATGTCACCCCTCTGCAGACCCCTCCAGCACCCTCCCTGATCCATCCCTACCCCCAGGCGGAACTCGGTCTGAGACCAGGGCCATCTGGTCTTTCACTAGGTACTCACGAAATGCACCAAGGTGGGCACACAACTTACCTAACAGAGCTACGCAAACAGAGGATGTTTTAAGTAAAAAGTTCAAATGCATTAAAGACCTGGTCAATGCCAGCAAGAATGACCTAAGTTTAAAGAGACAACAGAAACTATTCTTCAAGGAAAAAAAAAATAGGTTCGTGGAAGCGCCAGATTTTAGGCAGTAAACTTTTTGGTTTGCTGCAAAAATTCCGTGAGTCACCTGCCCACAGCGGATGGCTTTTTCCAGCTCTCCGTTTGGGAAAGGATAAGGCGTGGGGGAAGGATGAGTCATGCTGAATGCTCCCCAAGCATCACTATTTTAAAAAGCCCAGAATGTTCAATGGGTCTCATGTTTGCAGAGGAGTTTGGTCAGTTCCAAGGTGAAGCCCAGATACGCACCTCTTTGCAGAAGTGGCACAGCTGGCTGTGGGAGTCGGAGGAACAAGGGTAAGGCCAACCGAGGCAGACAGACCCCTCCCACGTGGGCGTCAGGAACTGCTGAGGAATCGAGCCTTTGTGAAAAGGGACCTGGTAAAGCTGGCCTTTCCTTCACAATAACGCAGGAGTGGCTCGAACACGGAGCAGCACGGGTATTAACATAAGCTGCCTCTGCATATGTTTTAGTCATGGCTGTATTATCAATTAAGTCCGACCTCTCTATGTGGGAAAAATGTAATATTTAAGTGTAATAGGCCAGGCGCGGTGGCTCACACCTATAATCCTGGCACTCTGGGAGGCCGAGGCGGGAGGATGGCTCAAAGTCAGGGTTAAGAGCGAGACCCCGTCTCTACTAAAAATAGGAAGAAATTAGTCGGACGACTAAAAATATATAGAAAAAATTAGCCGGGTGTGGTGGTGCATGCCTGTAGTCCCAGCTACTTGGGAGGCTGAGGCAGGAGGATCGCTTGAGCCCAGGAGTTTGAGGTTGCTGTGAGCTAGGCTGATGCCACGGCACTCTAGACGCCTGGGCAGTAGAGTTGAGACTCTGTTTCAAAAAAAAAAAAAAGTAACGGCAACCTTGAACTTGGGAGCGGTGGGCATACGTGGGAACCTCAACAGTATTTAGCCATCACTGTTTCAAAGCAGCGTCCTCTACTGAGTTCTCAGGGAGTGCGGCTCCCAGCAGGCCCCTGTAGCTAGTGAGGCACTGGGGATATGGTCTGTGAGTGACGCTGACCACCTCGCTCGAAATCGGCGGCCCCTTCAGCGTGGGGGGGGGGGCCGCAGAGGGCGTCTGCGGGAAGAGCCAGTGAGGCAGCACACTCCTAAATTACGACCGGAGGGTATACAGTCTCGAGCAGAGCTAACAAACACACTTTAAGATGAGGCTGCAGAGATAACATGGACCTTACTCATCCCTGTGTGGAAAGCCTGGCGTGGTGGCCAGGCTTGGGTGGGCTGAGGGGGGCTAACTGCTTGTATCATGTGCTGGCTCCTTCATGTGAGAAAGTGCAGGGTACGCCTAAAATAACTGCCATCGGTCATGGCGAGAAAATCACACAGTATGCCCAGCTTCATTTTCTTTCTTTTTTTTTGAGACAGAGTCTCACTTTGTTGCCCAGGCTAGAGTGAGTGCCGTGGCGTCAGCCCAGCTCACAGCAACCTCAAACTCCTGGGCTCAAGTGATCCTCCTGCCTCAGCCTCCCCAGTAGCTGGGACTACAGCCATGCGCCACCATGCCCGGCTAATTTTTTCTATATCTTTTTAGTTGGCCAATTAATTTCTTTCTATTTATAGTAGAGACGGGGTCTCGATCCTGCTCAGGGTGGTTTTGAACTCCGGACCTCCAGCGATCCACCCGCCTTGGCCTCCCAGAGTGCTAGGATTACAGGCGTGAGCCACCACGCCCGGCCCCAACTACATTTTCTGTCTAGTGTTCGCCTCTGAGAAATCGGTGGAGTGGAGGCGACCGTCCCAACAGCGAGACCCCGTGAATCCAGTCCTCCCAATTATGTTTCCGTTCTGACGGTGCGGATAGCGGCTCACACACACATCGTCCCAAATTCACATCAGCTCTTCGTTTTTACCCCGCGAGGCACGCGGTAGGGGACATGTGTAACCGAGCTATGGACTTTCAATACCTGCAGCCTCTATGTCTAGAAGCGATTTCAGATATCTGAGATTAGGAACAAAATGTTTTTCCTGGAAACATCTTTTTATTTACATTAACAGTCCGAGAGAAACGGACCTCCAAGTCCTTTACTCGCTCTTTACCGTAGCAAGGATATTCTGTATACTCTGAGATCTGAAAAGCAATGAAAACAACTGACAAAATGACAAATAAAACTGGGTCTTACCTTCAAAAAAGCTTTCTTTTCCAGAGTGTTCATAAGAAACGGAGGGATGGCTGAAAGTAAAGACAGAGCCACTTAAAACTCTATTTAATGTCTATTTTCAGCTCACTTTCCCCCCCCCCCGACAATTTGACAGAAGGCTTTATGTCACTTTTAGCCTATTTTTTCACACCGGCAGAGCGAAAACTATTTGTGGCAATTCTTTAAATTATTAAAGTTAAATTCATTAAATTGAAAACTGTTCCTATTCTCTAGATTTTTGAAAAACAATGTAATAATGCCCTCTGCCAGCCAGAAAGTTTTACAATCTTGAAGAGAACTTGACATTTGACTTTAAACAGGCAACAGTGCGAACATCAGGAACCTTTCCCTCCTGCATTACTAAATAATAAAGCAAATCCAACTATTCCCGGGCGTCCGGCACTGGGGGACAGCGTACAGAACCTGGCCTCGGTCAGGCAGGACCTGCTTCCAGCACAAGCCGGACCACTTGCTAGCTCGGGGACTCGGAAACAGTCACCTGACTTCCCCAAGCCTCAGTTTCCCGTTTCCTCACCTATAAAATGGAGAAAACGGTATTGAAGTGACCACGATGACTGGATGCATGCAACAATGAGTGTAGAATGTCGGGTACGTGATGGGCAGCACTGGTTCACTTCCTAGTAACTTTCACCAGACTAAACTGTCACGGCCCACACTGCAATGTGTCAACTGCCCTCGTACAATTCACGGAGACAGAAGGATTTGGCTTTCCTTCTGGGGACTCGACTGCATGTATAATAACCAAGTCGCTGGAAATGGATTTGTTGGGCTGGCTGAATTCCAAGAGGAATAAGGCATTGCAAAGTGGGAAAGACCGAAACCAAAAGCAAACCCATGGCACAAGTTGGAGTTGTAACCCCTCAATTCCAGCAAATTTGGAAATCAGGGCTCGGGAGGCATGTTGGGGCGGGCTCCCAGCCTCCTCCTGGTGAGCGGCGAGCGTGCCGGTTCCGGACTCGGGGAAGCTCTGGCTGCAATTCGGGACGGGGCTCCCTGGCCAACCCCGCAGAACACATCGGCACCCCACAAGCGGCCGAGGTGCTCCTTTGTTAAATCAGACCACAGCCGTCTTCCCCCCAAACAGTCGGAATGCAAGCATGCCCTTCCTCAAAGTTTTCCTTCATGCACTTTGGTTCAACCTCTGTTGCCTGATCCTGTTTGCCTGCTAATGAGCACTCGCAGCGACAGAAGGAACGTAAAAACTGCAAAATATATTAGTGAGCGAGCTGGACAGTGGTTGATGAAGTATGCTTCATTTGGAGCTTCATTTTAATAAGCCAAGTGCCGTGTGCACATGCAGCTCAGATGATAAAATTAAATTTGTTTTAATATTAATAATGCATTCTGTTTAGTACTAATTTCTGTTTCATCTGTGGAGAGGGCTTTCTTTGATAACTCCCAGGTCCTCTGATTTCTGGGGTGAGTCTGAGAACCTTCTCCAGGCCTGCTCTGAAGGTAGCTCTGAGCGGCCCTGCCGGTGGCCCCGGGTCTCAGAGGGAATGAACACAATGCAGATCTGCTGCTTTGGCTGATGCCGGAGAGAACAGAGTGGTGGCTGGGCACGCCCTTCACCTCTCAGTAGCTGCTCTAACCACTCCGATCTGCTCCACGTTCCTACCGTTTCCTACGGACACAAATAAGTCTTCAGGAGAAATTACTTCTACCCAAGGACTTTGGAAGTTTCCTTTCAAGGTTTAGAAAGATCAAATTCCTTGCTGTCCAATGCCCATCCCCGCCACTGCGTGGCCGCGGCCCAGCCCGCCACTGAGTCTCGCCTCGACACGGAGGCAACCCCTGAACAGGCTCCGAACACCACCCTTGCTTCTCATTCGGCCTGTCGCCAACCCAGCACCCCGGCGACACGGTGAAAACCTAAGTGGGACTGCGCCGCGGCCCTGCTCAAATCCCAAGTGGCTTCCCGCCTCTCGGACAAAAGCCAAGCTCGATCTCGCCAGGGCGGCCATCCATGCTCTGCCCTTCCTAGCGCTCCCCACGCCTCCTCGCTCTGCACCAGCTGCGCCCTCTCCCACCACCCTGCGCCTCCTCCCGCCACCCTGCGCCTCCTCCCGCCACCCTGCGCCTCCTCCCACCACCCTGCGCCTCCTCCCACCCCCTGCGCCTCCTTCCGCCACCCTGCGCCTCCTCCCGCCACCCTGCGCCTCCTCCCACCACCCTGCGCCTCCTCCCACCACCCTGCACCTCCTCCCACCACCCTGCACCTTCTCCACGACCCTGCGCCTCCCGCCACCCTGCGCCTCCTCCCACCACCCTGCGCCTCCTCCCACCACCCTGCGCCTCCTCCCACCACCCTGCGCCTCCTCCCACCACCCTGCACCTCCTCCCACCACCCTGCACCTTCTCCACGACCCTGCGCCTCCTCCCACCACCCTGCGCCTCCTCCCACCACCCTGCACCTCCTCCCACCACCCTGCACCTCCTCCCACAACCCTGCGCCTCCCGCCACCCTGCGCCTCCTCCCGCCACCCTGCGCCTCCTCCCGCCACCCTGCACCTTCTCCCACCACCCTGCACCTCCTCCCACCACCCTGCACCTCCTCCCACCACCCTGCGTCTCCTCCCACAACCCTGCGCCTCCCGCCACCCTGCGCCTCCTCCCGCCACCCTGCGCCTCCACCCACCACCCTGCGCCTCCTCCCACCACCCTGCGCTTTCTCCCATGACGCCACACCTTCTCCCACCACCCTGCGCCTTCCCCCACGACCCTGCACCCCCCTCCCATGATGCCTCCTCCCTCCACTCCGGGCACGCTCCTACCTCTCCGCTGCCTCTACCCGGGTACCCCGCTCCCTGCTCTAGCCCTTAGCACCACTTCCCACCTGCATGTCTGTGTACTTGTCTACGTTCCGCCTCCCCCACGGAAGGTCACTTCCACTAAAAGGAGTGACTTGTTTTTGTTTGTTCGCTGATCCATAAAGGCTTGCTCGGTCTGCGTCCAGGGAAGGAACGAGTGGATGACGAGGGTCTACTAACCCATGCCCGGGGCTGCCATGAGGATCCTGGAGACCACCACCTGAGCAATGGCTTGCTGCGCAGCGTTGGCCGATTCCCCCAATCGGTTCCCGTTTTCGTCCGTGACCGGAATGCCAACTCTGAGCTCCCTGCAGAGCCAAGCACATGCAAAGGAGTCCCCCAGTGCCTTCACGGAGCGTCTCAAAATAATACTATGACGGAAAGATCCAGTCCCTACTTAATCCAAATACTCACTCAAGTGTTACCTCTGGTACTAACAAGTTTAATTTTAAATACCATGAACGAGCTTAATCCTCCTGGGTAGACACAAAAGTAAAATAACCCGAGTCAGCTTTCTTAAAAGGGTGTATCTTTTTCAACAACAATATGATTTGAAGGGTGGATATGCTACCTTAAAGAAAAGGCTAATTTCTATGCCCATGTGCAAATTTGAGCAACTTTCAAATGACAAATAGATACAATACATGGCATTATTAAGTCAACTAACTTAATATACTGACATAGAAGAAGTCACTAGTATGTGGCCCTTACTGGATGTTTATTAACTATAGTTACTAACACTATAACTCCTATTTTTTTTTTTTTTTTTTTTGAGACAGAGTCTCACTTTGTTGCCCAGGCAAGAGTGAGTGCCGTGGCGTCAGCCTAGCTCACAGCAACCTCAAACCCCTGGGCTCAAGCGATCCTGCTGCCTCAGCCTCCCGAGTAGCTGGGACTACAGGCATGCGCCACCATGCCTGGCTAATTTTTTTTTTATATATATTAGTTGGCCAATTAATTTCTTTCCATTTTTATAGTAGAGACGGGGTCTCGCTCAGGCTGCTTTCGAACTCCTGACCTCGAGCAATCCGCCCGCCTCGGCCTCCCAGAGTGCTAGGATTACAGGCGTGAGCCACCGCGCTCGGCCTATAACTCCTATTGATACCCTGTTTTTTGTGATCCATTCCAAAATGCTTTTTCTTGTTCTTTCTTCTCCTTTATTTTTTGCCAGTTCTAAAAAACACTTCCACAGATATAGATTAATGTTATTTTAAGCCTCAAAAGAAAATTCTTGTGGGCGGGGAGACCCTATTTTAGAGAATAAACTTTCTTTGCGTGCACCTTCTTTGTCCAACCCAAGCACGGAAGCTTGAGGCAGATCTTTCGAGTGTACAGACACGGAAAACCCAATCTGAACGCCTCACGCTGCCCAGCCTGCTTCTGTAACTGGCAACTCGTCTCATCACGGGGTCCATCCTCACCCCGGCCCCAGGTTATTTTGAAGTAAATCCCAGATCTCATACAATTTCATCTGCACATAGTAAAATAAATTTTTAAAAGTTTCAACAAAGCTAATTATTACAAGAGACTATCCCGCCTGGCGCAAGCCCTTGCTAAGTAAGAGTGTGTATGAATCTTACCTTTGCCTCATTAGTGGAATATTAATGCAATTAGCAGCAGCTACGGCAGCAAAGGGAACAAAACGTCCTATCAGTGGTGAGACGTGCTGTGGAAGAGAGAATCCCAAAAGCGTTATCTTCCCTTTCCCATGTTAATGGATGGAAATAACTTATTTCTACTTGAACGCTCTTAACGTGGTCCTATTTGTGTCGGAACGCAGGCCAAGAGTACTTTCAAAACTTGTTTCTAGGCCGGGCGCGGTGGCTCACGCCTGTGATCCCAGCACTCTGGGAGGCCGAGGCGGGCGGATTGCTCCAGGTCAGGAGTTCAAAACCAGCCAGAGCGAGACCCCGTCTCTACTATAAATAGAAAGAAATTAATTGACCAAGTAAAAATATATATACAAAATTTAGCTGGGCATGGTGGCGCATGCCTGTAGTCCCAGCTACTCGGGAGGCTGAGGCAGGAGGATCGCTTGAGTCCAGGGGTTTGAGGTTGCTGTGAGCCAGGCTGACGCCACGGCACTCACTCTAGCCTGGGAAACAAAGTGAGACTCCGTCTTAAAAAAAAAAAAAAACTTGTTTCTAGAGGTATTTTTCAGTGTCCGGCATGGGCGTGCTGGGACCGGGCGTGCTTCTAGGACATTCGGACAGCCTAGCAAGGCTGAATGAGCACAGGCTTTGGCATCCCAGAGGTTTTTTTTTGAGACAGAGTCTCGCTCTGTTGCCCAGGCTAGAGTGAGTGCCGTGGCGTCAGCAACCTCAGACTCCTGGGCCTAAGCGATCCTCCTGCCTCAGCCTCCTGAGTAGCAGGGACTACAGGCATGCACCACCATGCCCGGCTAGTTTTTTCTATATATATTAGTTGGCCAATTAATTTCTTTCTATTTATAGTAGAGACGAGGTCTCGCTCTTGCTCAGGCTGGTTTCAAACTCCTGACCTCCCTCCCAGAGTGCTGGGATCACAGGTGTGAGCCACCTCGCCCGGCCCCGGAGTCTTGAGCTCAGCGCTGACTCCTGCGCTGGTCAGAGCCACGGCCTGCACACGCCGGGCCTGTCGGTCACACTCGGCGCCATGCACAGGTCACGGGTGTGACAACCCTTCCCAAATGTACTGGAAGATATAATTAAAATACATAGCTAAAGATAATGAGTATGATAAGAAAGTCACGGGACTTGGAACTATTCTGAGGAATAATGGAGGGACTTTTGAGCCAGGCAGGTGAGAACGAATCAAGAAGTTTATCATGGAAAAAAAAAAAAAAACAAATCGTATCGTCTTCCTGGTTAGGGCGTTAAGTACTGTAGAGCTGTCGCGTACAGCACCTAGTTGTGGCAGACCACCATAACGCCAGTTCCCCGTTCGCCTGAAAACGGAGCAAAAGCGACCAAGCCCCCACAAATGACGAGGCTGCTGTTCAGGATACCTGGTTACCTCTATTTGCAAGCAAAACCTGGGTGAAAAGAAAAGAGCGATGATAGAGGTGGAGAGTCCCACAACAACATTCCTTATCCACTTTTGCTTTTTTGTTGTTTTTTTGAGACATGTACAGCTCGCTTGTTGTTGTCCAAGGCTAGAGTGAGGGGCGGGCGTCAGCTTAGCTCACAGCAACGGTCCAAACTCCTGGGTCTCAAGCGGATTCACTCCTGCCGTCAGACCTTCCCGAGTAGT